ATCTTGAAATGTTTTTTTAATTTCAGACAATGCCATAACTTCCAGAATGACATAACTGATTCAGAAATATACACATACCTTATGAAACAAATCGCACCACTTGATTCTGATGTTGATATGTCTGCGTTAATGGTAATTACCAATAATACATTTTATAGTTTTATCTCATGAGGCCTTAGGAATAAATAAAAACAAATGTATTTAAGAAATATTTTCTTTTATTGATCAAGGTTTTTAAAATTAAAATTATATACAATAATGTTGTATTATGTGATTTTAATCCGGATTCATTAAATATTTTTAATTAGAATATATCTTATTAATTTAGTATTTAATACTTTATTTTTTGAATATTGTTTAATAAATAAATATTTTGGTTTCATAAATATATTTTAGCATTTATCTGAAGATATACATAATTTAATTATATATATTTTTTTTATTAAGGAACCGGATTTAAACAAAAGAGCAGATATAATGTTACAGCAAGCAGCTAAGTTAGGATGTCGTAGTTTTGTAACACCGGCTGATGTCGTGAATGGTGTTTACAAATTAAATCTTGCATTTGTTGCTAATTTGTTCAACAATCATCCAGGATTAGATAAACCCGAAGGAGAAATAGTAGGATTAGAATCAATTGAAGAAACAAGAGAAGAAAAAAGTTAGTTATTAATTTTTTTTAAAGAAATATACTTGAAATTTTAGTTTATTTTCACTATTTATGAATTTTTTTTCGTTTTATTAAAATATATTGATTTTTTAATTTTTATTATAACTTATAGAAATTGGATGAATTCTATGGGTGTTGCACCTCATGTTAATTGGCTTTATTCGGATTTAGCAGATGGTCTCATCATTTTTCAATTGTATGATATTATTAAACCAGGAATTGTAAATTGGTCCAAAGTGCACAGGTAAAATAATTATAAATTGAACTTATCTTAAAATCTTAAAATTTGATAAATATTGTTCACATACCATTCAACTTAAAGTTAAGAACATAGTTCTTGGTTATATATTGATTATTTCATGATATTTAAATTTTGATGCAAGTTTTAATATTTGTAATATTATATTTTAAAAATGTTCAAAATCAATGAACAAGATGTTCTTAATTTTAAATTTGACGATAAATCAATTCATTCTGATACTAATGTTATCATAACAGAATTAATTTAAAAACAAATAAATGTTAATTTTTATTTGTATTATTATAATATAATATAACAATGCAATTTTCTATATTGTGTTTGTATGATAGAAAATTTTCTAAATTACGAAAATTTATGGAAAAATTGGAAAATTGCAATTATGCTGTTGAGTTGGGACGTCAACTAAAGTTTTCGTTAGTTGGCATTGCTGGACAAGATTTAAACGATGGAAATGCAACTCTTACATTAGGTTAGCATATTCAATTAATTAATTTTGGTATAGTAGAAATATTATCAACATTATAACATATTTAATCTGTTTAGTAAATAAGTCATAACTTAATATTTTTGGTTTAATGGCAATATCTGCTGAGGTCACTACAGATGGAAATTAAATTGGATTGTTGTCTGTTTTTGATTTCTTTTGATTTAAAATATTTAGTTGTAAAATACTGAGTAAAATTATAAATTTCTGATGATTAAAATGTACTTTTGTTTTTTATTATAGCTTTAATTTGGCAACTAATGCGAGCATATACTTTATCGGTCTTAACCCAACTTGCCAAAACTGGAAGTCCCATGATTGAAAAAGAAATTGTTACCTGGGTTAACAATAAATTACAAAGTGCCAATAAATCTTCAACTTTGAAAGGATTCCAAGATCATGCATTATCTGATGGTCGAATTGTTATTGATTTAATTGATGCAATAAAACCAGGCACCATTAATTATGATATAGTTAAAGAAGGTGGTGATGCTGAGGTAATACTTTTAATAAAAATAATTATCAAAAAAATTGCTTTTTGAATATTTGATTACTACTAAACTGCATTATTATTTTAGGACAATTTAGCAAATGCTAAGTATGCAATATCAATGGCCAGAAAGACGGGTGCTAGAGTGTATGCTTTACCAGAAGATATTACAGAAGTAAAACCCAAAATGGTAATGACACTCTTTGCGTGTCTTATGGCCATAGACTATGTTCCTTATATGGACGTTACTGGAAAATCAGACTCTTAACTAAATTATGTGTTATTATTCTTAAAAATTATCATAACTCACATTTTTTTTTTTTATATTGTATTTATTTATATATAAATATTTGTAAACTATTTTTTATTGAACAATATTTTTTTAATTTTGGAATTTGACAGCATTTAAACAAAACATGTTGGCTGTCAATAAATTAAATGTACAATAAAATTTTTATAAATATATTTATATTGATGTAATAGGTATTAAGAGTATGTTTAAATCAATTTTTATTTTCCAAATATTTAGTATATTTGCAAAAAACGAACACTTGGCAACATTTGTTACCAATTTTTATATTTTAATCACTAATTTAACTTAAGATAATAACTTTTTGTCTTCAATCATTCTTATTTCAGCTATTAAATATTAAAACAAAAGTTTATTAAAGCTGAAATTAGTTGTAGAAGACTGACTTACCAATTAATATTTATATATTTGTATGTAAGTACATAATAATACAATTATTTTATGGGTGTTTAATAATTATTACTTAAAAATTAGAAATTAAAATATTATTATCATAATTTGTGTTTATATATTGTATTACAAATTAAAATTATTATTTTAATTAATTAAATTTATTTTTTATAATATTTTATAGTTTATTAATTATTACTAACATAAATAAAAGTGTACTTAAAATTCTAAGGTTATTTTTCTTAAATTTTTTGGTATTTTATTGTTTATACTTTTTTTTTAAATTTTATTTTATTGAAATTATTTATTTATTTTATTATTATTGTGATTGCTAAAATAAAATTATATAAAGTAACATTTGAATTTTACATCTAGTAACCTTAACTCTTTTTATTAACCATTTTAGATAGACTTAAAATACTACACAAATTACAATTTTTATTTTTATATTCAGTAGCTGATCAATCATAATGTGTTATTTATTTTTGTTACCTAATTATTTTTCTTTTATGTTAAATAAGATTTTTCAAATTTAATGTGACAGAAAATTTCATTATAAAATATTCTTATTAGGTAAAAATGACATTTGTAAATTATTTTAAATCATATAATTTATATTAATTAAATATTAAATATTTTTTTCATTAATTAAAAAGTGGTTTTTAAATTTGAATTGAAAACCTATATTTTTAAAATATGTTGAATGCATGATTTATTTTTAATGAATTCTGACAGGTCATTTATACGTTAATATTTTAAAAGCTGTTAACATTGTAACAAAACTCCAAATCCTGTTTGATTGTTATATTAACTTATGTTTTATTGTATCGATATTTTAAATTGTTTGACAATGGTTCGATTACAATATTCTTTTTTGGCCATGTTTAACAATGACATATATTTACTAATCTTTAAGAATTTTACAGAGAAAATATTGTAATGACTAATGAGTTAAAAATGAGGCGAGTAGATAAATGATGACAAAAAGCGTAAATAATATAATGATTTGAAGAATACAAAATCTTTAAGCTTTAAGCTAGAATATTTAATATATTTGTACGATATTCAATTATATAATTATTTGTTTCAACATATTTAGCTCATTACATGAAATTACCTACTTGACGTGGTATTTTGTTGGGGGTGAATACGAGAGTTTTTTCTTAAGAATATATTTCCGGATAATGAGTATCACTTACCTTTTTGCGGAATCTGTAAGTCTTTATCGATGTTGATTAGATTTTGACCAGGAAGTGAAAAAGTAGAGGAGATATACCAAAATTCGTCAACGATATTGTGATTAATTTAATTTATTTTTATTTTTGAAAGAACATGAGAAAAAAGAATATAACAATGTAAGCTATGGAGTGAGCGACTGAGCGCCGTTGTGTATGTGATGTATGCTTAAATAGATGATGATTGTGAAATGCCGCCTTTGAGTAAAATCAAACAGTGATTGCGGATGTCCCAATCATCGGCGTGAAGCGATAAGTGCTTAATGTTACAATAATTATAATTATTATGGTCTATGTATTAAATTAGTTTACTTAAATCTAAATGTATTTATTTTAATGATATATTATAATGTGTATATCATTGCATTTACCCCAGTTTTTTTTTTTTGTGTGCCTTTATACCCATGGTGATTACATAATATAAGAAAATCAAATTGATACATCTATGAATATTTTACTATACTATACCAAACATAACTATACTAGACTTATGATTTAAAACTAATAACATAATATTGTAGAAGTTAACATTTTTTTTTTTTATATGAACAAAAATAATATATATTTTGATATAATCATTATGCTAAATTATTTCTTACGGATTTTTTTTTTTTTTTTGTGATATTCTTGCATATGACTAAGTTGTGTTGGTGTCCTTATTAGATTGATAATCTTTTAATGGTTGGATACAATTTAACTTGTTTGTGACTTTTAGTTGTGTAGTTTGCAGTTGAGTGTCTGTGTATTATGAGTTTTATTTTGGTCGAGAATCAATAATGAATGTAGCTCTTCTTCGTTTTTTTTTGTTGTTCTTCTTTTTGGTGCATGCTGTGCATTATATAATGCGTAATGCTACTAAAAATTCCAGCTACTAGTTTTATGCTCTATCTCAGGGGCGGCCAAACGGTCGATCGCGGACAATTTCAAAGTCGATCATGTTAGAATTTATTTTTAGGGACACGCGCACGAATTGTTATCGAATTGTCGATAAGTTTTATCTGTTTAATTTTAATCTGGTTTCGTGTGTCAAATGTTTATCGGTCACGAATGTTCATTTCATTGTGTTCTGTTGTTCTGTGTTCTGTTGGTGTCTGTTGTATTTTAAATTTATAATTATGAGTGCACATAAAAAACAAAAAACTTATCATTTTCATCAAGAATGGGAAATGGATTTTTTTTTTACAATGTTGAAAGACAAGTGAATATGTTTGATATGTCAAATAACAATATCCACAACAAAAAAAGGTAATCTAGAAAGACATTTTAGAACTACGCATTCAAAATTTTATATAGATTTCCCTCCTAAAACTGAAGTACGTAAAAAGCAATTAGAAAAATTAAAACTTGAAATTGATAAACAACAATTGATTTTTACTAAACCAGTTTTAAAATCCAAAGCAGCAACAATTGCTTCATTTCGAATTAGTCATGTTTTAGCTAAGAATAAAAAATCATTTCAAACCGGTGAAATAGTAAAACAAGCTTTTTTAGAAGGCGCAGATGCTTTATTTGAAAACTTTAAAAATAAATCAGAAATTTTATCAGCTATAAACGATTTACAGTTATCTCGTAAAACTGTGACTAGAAGAGTAGAATCTATAGGACAAAATTTAGTTGAAATATTAAAACAAGACATCAAAGAATGTGTTTATTTTTCACTTCAATTCGATGAATCAACAGACATAACAGATGCCGCTCAACTATGTATATTTATACGACTAGTTTTTTTAAATTTTAATTCAAAAGAAGAATTATTAACTATAATCCCTATGAAAAGTACGACACGAGGTGTGGATATTTATCAAGCTTTTATTAATTTCGTCAATAAATCAAATTTATCTTTGTATAAATTAGTTTGTATTACGACTGATGGGGCTCCAGCTATGATAGGTAAAAATAATGGTTTTATTGCTTTGTGTAAGAATGATAATAATTTTCCAAATTTTATAACGTTCCATTGTGTGATTCATCAACAAGCATTGTGTGGAAAAATATTGAATACAAGTAGTATAATGGACATTGCTTTTAAAATAGCCAATTCTATACGTTCACGAAGCTTGCAAAGGCGACTTTTTAAATTACAATTAGAAGAAAACGATTCTCAGCATTGTGATTTATTACTGCATACGGATGTTAGATGGTTGAGCCGTGGTAAATTTCTAGAAAGGTTTCAGTGTTTACTTCCTGAAATAATAGAGTTTTTAAAATCCAGAGGCGATAATTATGATTGTTTAACAAACAATACATGGCTTCAGAACTTAGCTTTTTTAACAGATATAACGGCTCATTTAAACACTTTAAATGTTGAACTTCAAGGAAAAGATGGGACAATAATTGAGTTATTGAGTTCTATAAATGGGTTTAAATCAAAATTGATATTATTCAAGTCACAATTAAATGAATCTAAATTGAATAATTTTCCAAACTTAAAAGATTTTTTTGAAAAGCAAAAATGTACAGTAGCAGTGGAAATATATTGCTCTGAGGTTGAAAAAGTGTACAATGAATTTGAAAGACGATTTAAAGATATTCAAAAATTAGAGCCGATTATTACATTTATGTCTTTTCCTTTCTCCGAAACAAACAATATTGAAAATATTTCTACACAAATAAGCAATTTCTTTGATATGGATTCTACAAAATTTGAATCTGAAATTATAAAAATTAAATCAGATATATTTCTCAAAGCTCGAGGTTCTGAAACAAATTTTTGGAATTTACTGAGTGAAGAAAAATATCCGGGTTTGAGGAATGTAGCTTTGCAGATACATAGTTATTTTGGATCTACATATTTGTGCGAAACAGCATTTTCTCACATGAAAATGATAAAAACAGAATTTCGATCTACGCTCTCTGATGACCATTTGGAGCAGTGTCTTCGATTAGCAGTTAGCAACTATTCGCCAGATTACGACCAATTGGTCAACGACATGCAATGTTACACTTCAACAATGTCCAAATCAACAAAATAATATGTTAATTAAACTTATCTAATTAGATTTTAGAAATTATTATTTATTATTATATTATTTTTAGTAATTGTAATTAGTTAATAATACTTATTGTATGTTTATATGCACTTATTCAATAATAAAAAATTTTTCTATAAAAGTCGATCCTCAAAGGTGAAGTATATTTTTAGTAGATCGTGACCAAAAAAAGTTTGGCCGCCCCTGCTCTATCCAAAAGTCTAATATAATAAAGATATGTTTAGCTGGTGTTGATGCATATTAAAATTATTTGCCATATAAAAAGTATTCCAAGAATGCCAGAGATAAATTCTCCAAAAACCGTGAACCATCCTCACATTTATTTAGTTTGTTGTCTACTAGTCTGCTTATGGTGTTTTCATCAATTAAAGTGTCTAATTTTAGTTTCTGATCCATGATTGGTAAGTCCATGGTTTGTCTTCTTGCCAGATTTTTTTGTGACGCTTCTATTTCCTGAGGAAGTACTAGGTATTGTTGAAAAACTTTCATAATGTCATACGTATGTGTAAATTTCAGCTGTCATTAGGTGTTCAGGGCTTTTATAAGCCCATGTCCATTCTGTTGACGGTTTTAGGGTTTGAGGTGTTTTTATTTCGTTTACTTTTGATGAAATAGTGAACCAATCTCCGTCGAGGTAAAAGGCAGATGGTAGAAGGTAGTTACAATTAATTTCCGTTCCATATTTTTGTAAAGTTCTAGTTTTGGGAGCCATAAAGTATAATTGGTTATTATGTATTACTGGTAGTTCATTATAGCTTGTGTTTTTGTATTGTATTTCAACTTCGACTGCTTTACATTTTATTAAATATATTATTTCTTCGGCCTTAATAGCCGTAAAACCTGGACCTTCGCCCATTATGTATGCAAATTCAGAAAGGCTGTTTGTTGCTAAACTTAATTTTTGTATTAATATTTTTCTCTCTAATTCACATTGTTTCTGTAATAGGTCTGTATATAAAGTTGTAATTGATGATTTGTAACGGTTTTCTATATAAACTAATTTAGTGTTAATATATGCCGCTAAATCTATATTTTGCGGGGAAATATTTTTTGATTTAAAATGGTTGAAAAAATAGTGGATCTGTTAATATATTTAGTTGAGAATGTTCTGTTTGAATTACTGGTATGTGACATGCATATGTTTGTTTTATGTCTGTTAAGGCAAAAACTATTTTTTATCGCATTCGACTAGATATGTATGTTGATTTTTGTTATTGATCGATGTAACAATGGATGCTGGTCCGTCAAATAAATTGTAAAGTCATGGGTATCGCAGTCATAAGTGTTGAGATCCCATATTATTTCGCCTTTGTACGCATCTATACCGTATTGATCTGATAGTTTAAATTAAGTACCAGTTGGAAGTATGAGAGAGTTTTTTTATTGTTGACTATTGCCATACCTGTGGTAATTGTGATTTTGAAGTTTGCTTGTACAATAACGTCTTGCCATGTGCCTTTTTCTGATGTGAATGTGATACCTTTGTATTTTCCGTGCCTATCAACGAATCCCGCTATTGTGGTGGAAAAAAGTTTTGTTTCGTTGATTTTTAGACCTGTTATCACTCCATCAAGTGAAAGGTGAAAAGTTAGTCTTTGGTGTATTTCTGAGCAGCGTGAACTGCCGATTTCTGATATTTCTGTAAAGAAACCATTCTCTACCATCATTGCATCTTCTAGTATTGAGCATCGTGATATGAGATAGTTTGTTATGATTGCGCATGATTTATATGGAATTGAGTAAGTATCTGTTTTTTGTAATAATTTAATTCTTTGAATAGGTTGAATGTTGATTGTAGATGGAATATCACAGAAATCTACTTTGAGACTATTGAAAGCTGTTATGTTTATTTTAGGTGCACCACAGTCATATGCAATGAATCCGAGGGTCTGTTGTAGCAGTGTGGAGGTGATTATTGGTGTTAAATACATTTTGATACAGCTATGTATTAACATAATAAAAAAATAATATAATCTTATGTTAGATTTTGATTTTAGTTCAGAATCAGATCTAGGAGAAGGAGATTCTGCCGATGAAGATTGTGATCTTGAATTGTAATGAAAATCCTAGTGTACAAAATGAAATATTTAATAATGATGCAGGATTTAGAACTCGGGCCGTACAAAGGCAATCAACAGATTGTGTGTGGGCAGATGATCCATCAAATGCAACTAAAGTTCCGTTTTCTAAAGTTGCAGGTTAAAAAAAAACACGACCACTGGGAAATAAACTAATTAATTATTTTAGTATGCTATTTACCGATGAACTGGTTGAAATAATTGTGCAAGAAACAAATGTATACGCTGTAGAAATATTTTTAGCTTCTTCTGGAAGTTTATCTAGTAGAATTTCTCGATGGAAAAATACTACTGTTGAAGAAATGAAAATATTTTTAGCATTACTTTTTCATATCGGAACGATTAGAACAAACCGTTTAGAAGACTATTAAGTTTTTTCGCTCACACATGAGTAGAAATAGATTTATGCTAATTTTGAGAGCTCTACATTTTTCTCATTCTGAGTCTAGTACTTGAATTAATAAAATAGAAAATATTGTAAACTATTTCAATAAGAAAATGGAGGAAGTCTATGAACCAAGTAAAAATTGAGCTTTAGATGAATCGATGGTTCTATTTCGCGGCAGACTTGTCTTTCGACAATATATCAAAAACAAACGCCATAAATATGGAGTTAAGTTTTACATGCTAACAGAATCTTTTGGTTTTGTACACCGAGTAATGATATATTCAGGACAAGCACATGATATGTCTTTGGATCGCTGTCACACCGAGTACGTAGTTGAAAAATTCATGGAAGGACTTTTTTATAGTGGCCGTTTACTTTACATGGACAATTACTATAATAGTGTTAAATTAGCATATAATCTTTTGAGTAAAGAAACTTAATGCACAGGTACCTTGAGAAAAAATAGGAAATATAATCCTAAGGACATAACTTCGATGAAATTAAAAGTAGGAGAGAATGTTGGTAAGTATACTGAAAAAGGTGTGTGTGATGAAATGGAGAGATCGACGTGATGTACTAATGATTAGTTCTGAGTTTGAGAATGAGATTGTTGAGGTAACAAATAGGAAAGGACAAACAAAATTTAAACACCTTGCCATTTCTAAATATAATGAATATATGTCGGATGTTGATAAACAAGACTAAATGCTGTCTTATTATCCGTGTGAGAGAAAGATAATAAGATGGTACAAAAAAATTGGGATTCATTTTTTTCAACTTTTTATGTTAAACTCATATTACCTATTTATAAAACACGAGAAGAAAATAACATTTTATGATTATAAGCTATCAGCAGGCCCGTCGTAAGGTATTTCCGCCCTAAAGCGAAATTTTTAATGCTTCTCCTAAGATACTAAATTACATATGTACATGCATAATATTGCAATTAAAATGTTTTAATACATGTGTTGATTTACAAATTAGCAATACACAAAACCATAAACATAAACATAATATATACAACTTTAAAAAGTACAAAATACACGAAAATATAATATTATACATACTGTTAGTATAAACGAAAATACAATTAAGAAAAATATTTTTAATTATAATAATAATAATATTTTAAAATTGTAAATTAACTTTCCTTGCCTTTTTTGTTGCAAAATCTTGTATTAAATATTCCAAATTTAGTTCTTGTGCCAACTCTGCTTCAATGGATAAAATTGATAATCCAGTTAAACGTTCGTTACTCATTATTGATCGTAAATGATTTTTTACAAGTTTCAGTTTAGAGAAACTTCTTTCAGCAGACGCTACCGTCACTGAAATTGTAAGAATAATTCTTAAACATATTGCAATATTAGGATAAATTTCTTGAAGTTGATGTTTGTAAATATATTCAAGATTTTTACTTGGAGAACTATTTGATTCTGCTAGTTGACAAAATAATTTAATTTCTTCAAATAATTCAAATACATCAATATCAGAAGTATCATTTGAAGATAGTAGTATCCCTAAATCTTTGCAATGCTTAGTATGGTTTCATGCTCCCAAGATTTTAAAATATTTATGTCATACAAGAAACCAAAGTTAGAACAATGATTATTTAACTGGATAAATCTGTCTTGTAACGAATTGATAGCTGTATCTATTACAGTATTGAAGAAGTCTACTTCAAATTTTTTTTCTGGGTTATGAAGAGGACTATCATCTTTATTTTCATAGTTGAAATTAGTTTTCTTGAATCGTTTACGCACTTGATGATCTTGAGGGAATCCCTCCAATATTCCTATGACTGATGCAATTTCTTTAGCAGTTAATTTCACTTTAAAAAATCCATTCTTTCGATATTCTTTTAAAAACTCAATTACTTCTGATATACTTTTAACATAAATTTGTATATCAAATTGGATAGACTGTAGTTGTTTGCTAACAGGATTAACAATACTCAATATATCATACCAAATAATAATGGAACATAAAAATTTAAAATCACATATATTTTTTAAAAGCGCGTATGCATCTGCTTTTGTTTGAAGACCATGCGTTCCAGTTAAGTTTATATCATCCTTGATACAATTCAAAGCATTGTAAAGTTCTTCAAATTAATATCGTATTGGTCTTATTGCATTAATCCTCGACTCCCAACGCGTGTCACAAACTTTTTTCAATGTTAATTTGGGTAAAAATTTAATCAGAATTCTCCATCTCTCAGTAGACGCCGAAAAATACACATAAAGTTGTTGTATTATATTAAAAAATGAAACTGTATAAATATTACATTTCGCTGCATCATTAACTACCAAATTTAACGAATGAGAATTACACGGTACATAAAATGCTCTAGGATTAATGTCAAGTATGTGTTTTTGAACTCCGTTATGTTTTCCTCTCATATTGGAACCATTATCATAGCTTGACCACGCATATCATTTATATTTATCTCTAAATCTGAAAGCATTTTAATTATTCGGTCACTTAAACCAGCCTCGGTTTTATCAAAAACTTCAATAAATCCGATAAAATGCTCATGTATAACACCTTTTGAAATACAAACATATCGCAATATTATCGATATTTGTTCCTTGTGACTACAGCCAGGAGTACAATCTAAAATAATGGAATAATACTTTGCATCTCTCACTCGACTCAAAATGTTATTTTTAAATTTTTCACTCATTAAATTAATAAATTCATTTTGAATTTGAGGTCCTAAATAATGCACATGTAAGTGTTTATTTTGAATCCTTTCTACGTGAGTTTTCAAAACATTATCAAATAACGAAAACAATTCAATAATTTTCAAAAAATTGCCATTATACGGAGAATGAATAGTAGATGATGTTCCACGAATCGAAAGATTTTGTGCAGCCATGCAACGTAATATAGGGGAACGTGGGCAAAACGGGGCCATGGGGCAAAATGGGGACTGGTTAAATGTTAAGGAAATAATGAAAATATTAGTTTTTAAAACAGCTGTTTAGAATTGTTCCCTCATCCAGAAAACGTGGTTAAAGGTTAATTATTTAATTTACATTATAATATGAGTTATTGATAAAAACATGAAAAATGTGTTACCGCGACAACAGTGATATAAAAACATCTATTTTAACTTTAATTTTTTTTCGGCTTGAAAGTAAATCATTTTAACTTAAATAATTAATAATTACAGTATACGTATATACAAATAGTATTTTCATTAAAATTATACTTAATAATCGTTAGAACGTGTGCCAAAATTATCGAATAAGTATGTTGTAGGGGCAAAATGAAGTTTACATATTTAACTACTAAATAACAATATTACAATAAATATTAAAACCATGTGGTGCACCACGTACCTTAAATATGATTATGATGCCATGTGGTGCCCAGATCCATATTTAATAATATTAATGAGTTACAATGAAAAAAAACAAGTTGATCTGGCACACTCACATGAGCATCGCTAAACATACCACGAAGAATCAAACTTAACCTGCAGCCAAACCATACAAAAACAAAACCACGGATTATTCACCGACGACGATATATATAAATAAAATACCTCCTGCAAATATAACAACATTTAATAACCGCAACAGAAGATGACCGAACGATACATACCAATGTAAAAAACAGGCGTCATTCACCGAAAAACAAAATGGATGAACCACGTAGAAATGATGAGGAACAATAAAATGCATAAACCGAATATCAACAACATATATGAACAAGCAACACACCATGCTGCTTTGAGAGCGCCGAAAAAACAAAAACTAAGGAACAATGCTACAACAGACCAAACCGAATACAAATACTAATAAGATCATAGGAACGATATTCAGTGCCATACGCACAACTATATAAAACAAAACAATCATTATATATTTGGTGACATTGATACAATGACTGCACACCAGAATAATAATACCAAATAACTTTGTCTACGCATGCAATTATGTTTTTTTTTGATTTTGAATTCCCGCCATGTATGTAGATAGTTTATGTAATGTGGTATGTTATCATCCTGCTGTCGCGGTCCTAACCACTATATTGTTATCATGGCATTGTAGTGGTTTTGCGCCCGACCGCTCCGATGATAACTGCCATTTAAATGTTATTTTTGCTCGTTTCATAACTGCAAACCTAAAACTAGACAGAGTCATAGTTTTCGTTTCGGTCCATTAAAAACTAGTGAATTACAAAGCAGTAAAATCTTTTGGCTACGCAAAGCACAATGTCTATCATTCCAATCTGAGATCAATGATTTGACTAAGGAGGGTAAAGTCAGCCGCCGCAGTTGTCTTAACAGTCTAAATCCATACATTAATCATATCGGGTTAATATGTGTTGGAGGTCGACTTGCTAACACACCCGTTCCTGAAAGCCAAAGATTTCCCGTAGTGCTGCCGACAAAGAACAAATTAACAAAAATGATATTTGAATATGAGCATGTTCGCCTCCTACATATCGGTCCCCAAGGTTTTTTAGCTAACGTACAATTCAGTTATTGGCCTATACGTGGAAGGAACATTGCCAGACAAACGAGCGGATCACTGCAGCTAGTTCCAAGTTACGTACGCGCATGCGCACGCGCACCAATTCTATTATCAACATATCTTATCAATAACTGATAAGCTACTTCATACAACTCAAATGCAATCCGATATTATTTCAATATACTTACAATTTATAAATAATATACAGTTTACAATAATATGCTCAATATTATTTATTATATTATCATTACATAGCATTAAAAGGTAGTCGTCAATAAATATGCTGGTCATCTAATAAATATAGGTACTACGGTACAATAATAAATCGTTAATCTCAGTTAATCTATAAAAACTCACCAAAATCACAATCTTGCAAGATACGCAAATAAAACATTTAATCACTACTCATTATTGTGGTTTCGGAAGAGAGAGTACTCAAGACAACATGACGTCAAGTAATTTGTGTATTACTTGTTGCGTACATTCACTGCTGTACATAATTGATAATTTTGTATTTCTGCTGGTTTTGATTAGCTTTGCTGCTTCATTTTGATGCTTTTTGTGGGGAGACGTTGTTGATCAATATTTTGTGGCTGGGCAGTTGGGTTGTATGTTCTGAAAAGAAGGCCGGAAGGGCGTGATTGTCACGACCGTTTCAGATTGAATTTCACGGATTCATCACGGCAAAATACTTCTTTGCAACCACAGCATGTTGTTTGGCCTTCACTACACAAAAACGACAGCAATTCAATAACCTATCCGTAACAAGCTGAAGTACATCGGCCAAACAATAATCAGTGAAGAACATTATACACCATTTTGATCATGTTATTATAGCACACTATCGAACAACTGTGGCTCATTTGACAAATGTTTTATTTGTATTGCATTCTGTAAACATTGTATTCAACCAGTTTCCATTAATTAACTGTGACGATTAACGACATATTATTACGAAACACTATATTAGTGTAACAGGCCAACTTATTATTTACCTGTCTTTATTAATGACAATATTAATAAATAACTGTTGAGGACTGTGTAACAAAACTGTAACAATATTATTTATAAGTGTAAATATTATTGATAACTAAGATTTGACCGTGAGGTGCTGTCGGTATTGACAAACATGTTGATAGTGGTGCGCGTGCACGCTATAAGCCACCGAACCCCAACTGCGTGATCCGCTGTCTGTATTCCTTCCCTGTAAACAACCAACGGTGTACGTTAACTAAACGCGAGAACAGGAGCAACATGCTTTCATATTCAAATGTCATTTTGAGCTGGTGATAACTGTCGGCAACGCCAGGCTCTTCTTTAACGAACGACCTCCTATTAACCTAACGGATTTATTAACAACGCGGCTGTTTCCTTGTCAAATCATTGATCTGTGGGCATTATTTATAACCAAGCCGAAACGCTTATGACTGTCTGTACAGGTTTGCATTATGGCTGACAAAAATAACATTTAAATGACGATTATCTCGGGTGATCGAACTGCCACTACAATGCCAAAATAACAATATAGTGGTTGCTGGAATGACTTCAACATACCCGTACTAAACTATCACATACATGACGGTATAATTACATCGTAGGTAAATTATTATTCTGATGACCGTCATTCAATATCACCAAGCAATGATGTTTTATTTTATATAATTGCGCCATGTACCTCTCGACCTATGACTCTTATTGTATTTATTCATTTGATATTACCAGCATTATTCTGGTGCGCTCTCAAGCGCGGCATATTACTATTCTATATGTTATTGATATTCGACGCTATGTTCATTCTCATCATTTCCGTGAACTTCATCCATTTATTTTCATTGACGACTTTATTTGTGTGCTATCGTCATTATTGCGAACGACCAAATATTATTGCCAAGGAGAACCATTTATTTATATAAATGTCGTGGTATCCGTGTTTCCATTTTTATGATTTTATTGCAGGTAATTTGATTATGATGTTATGTTGCTGATGCTCTCGTGAATCAACTGTTTTCATTGTGTCGTAACTATTAAATATGGATCTGAACGCCATAACATCTGTCATATTTAGGCATATTGCTACACGCTGTTCTTCCTAACGACTAAATTTAAACTTTTAACATTATTAGCTTCTATTTTAATAATGACTACCTGCATGCTACCAGTATTAATTATTTAGTGAAATGATTTACTAAACCGAAAAATTAAAACTCACTATTGTCGCGGTAACATTTTATGTTTTAATAATAATATTATCATAATCAGTAACCCAACCACTAGATATTATTCTAAACAATAACAAAACATGCGCATTTTCGTATTTCGCAACCGGTCGACGCAATGGTGGCGATGCAATATTATTCCGATGACACAGGTACTCACCTACTGGGCTAAGTATCGATAATAGCTGCATTCAAAAGGTATTGTCGGATTTATTGATTTTGATAAAACCGAACAAGCGTAAATGCTTTCATTGTAAATAATGACGTAAATGAATAGCTACGATAACCAGCTGAGCTTTATAACGAACTGCTGACATTAGAGCACTGGCTGCTGGCAATACTAAATTCGTTATTCGACGGTGTATAATATTTACTTTCAGTTCATTTTTAATATAACTCTGACAACTTATGTGTCGACCTAAGCGTCTACAGGATGAAGAATACGGTAAACCACACCCAGTAACATTGAAAAATTTGTGACACGCGTTGAGATTAATGCAACAAAGGCAATACGTGTGTGAAGAACTTTACAATAACTTGGTGTATCGAAACAACCTAAACAACGAACGCGTCTTTCAAGCAAAAAGCTGAATATACGCTTTCGTATATGTGTTTAAGCCCACCTGTTCGCCATAACGGTATGTTATATTATTGTTATTGGCCTGTTATTCAAATAACTACAGTGTCAATTTGATGTAA